CCCCCCCACACCCCACACACACATCAACAACAAAACAAACCACCACCACACAGTTCTTTAAGCCCCCTGGTGGAAATCACAGTTGGAACTTGTTCTAGACAGTCGACTCACTTGATTATTGACTGGAATTACAACAGGTGCGGTAAATTACCCCTCATATGAGCCAGTTGTGTCTTAGGGTGGTAGATGTTTTTTTTAATATTTTGATATGTTTGATGTATTCATTAGTTATTTGTAATACAACCTTTTGGATGGTAATATTTTTTGTTTCCGCTAGAGGCCAAATGACAACAGTATCTAATTACAGCACATTATCTATGTCAGAAGTTAAACCTCCGTGGTTAGGCAAGTTATTACTTCATTTTCGAAGATGGACGTAATTGCGTAGATGTTAATTACCTACACATTGGTTATTGAAGAATGAGATGTGGAAGGGAGTATTCAACAACTGAAAATCATAGTATTTCGTTAATGATATTTAAATTGCAATTTCCTTGAGCTTGGCTGATAATAATTTAGAAAATGAGACAATTTAAATCTCTTAGCTAGTGTCTTTTGAATTTATGTTTCGACATATTTTATTTGAAAGCAAATTGAAATTGTCTGTGGAAGGAAAATTTTGGCCTCTATCTTTATAAGTTATGGGTTTACGCTGGATTTTTTTGTTGTTGTGAGTGGAAGGAAAGTTTCACCCAAAAATTGATTTAAACTAGTTTTTAGGAATTTGATTTTTTTTTAAAATTTTGTTTTCAAAATCTGATCAAATTTTATGAATAAATAATATTTTCAATTTTGTTTTTTGAAAAAAGTAGTCAACATTTATGTCCGCGGGTGCTTAATGTGTGTTGTAAATGCTCTTCTTTCGAAAAAGATTAAAAAATTTCACGGTGTGCCATTTGGGCATCGCAATTTAACCTATATACAGTTTTTTGAAATTATTTAACGTGTAAATATTAACATACTTCAGAAAAAGGCTGCTTCTTCTCCTTCTATTTGGGTTAGTAAATTTTCCTGCAATTGGCTCGAACCTGACCGTCGTTGTCCACTTGAAATGAGTCGGGGGAATTTTACAGCTTTGCCTCAAAGTTCACAAGCAGATTAAACAATGTACCTCTGAATAAACTTTCACTCCATATATACTCTCTTTTTTTCGTAGAGATAACAGTTTCTACAAATTTGTGAAATTTCCGGCGATTTAACTGTCATCGGCATTGTCATTTTCGAATTGGATCTCTAGCAGCAGCGAGTTAACTTATTCCATGTAAATATCATAGTGGGGCTTTAATACTTCTGGGTTTTGAATAAAACAAAAAGGTTCAATTGTAAAGGACTTTACAGTTATGCCTGGAAGTTACAAGAATAAATTGCACAAGCAAAGTAAGCACAGTGCTAAGGAGAGTGGAGAATATTTATATTCCGATGAGGATGTGCAGATGAAGGAGAGGAGTAGTAAGGAGAAGAATAAGTAAGCGACTTAAATGTCTAAAGTTTGGCTTTTGTCAAGCACCACTTCAGTGAAAAAATATCCGAAGTTTGACCTTGCTTAAGGCCATAACTTTAGTAAAAAAATGTCTGAAGTTGGCCTTGGCAAGCCAGCTAATCTTCAGGCAAAATTATCTGAAGTTTGGCCTTGACAAGGCCATATTTTAGGCAAATATATATGAAGTTTGCCAAACTTCAGACACGACAGACACGAACTTTGCAATTTCAGTTTTGTAAGTTTGAAGTTGTGCCCAAAGTGGGTAAATTTGCAAAAATATTTCAACTTTACAATGGCCCCCAAAGTGGGTATTTGTGCAGTTCACGCCCCGCCTCCCCACAAAAGAGGGTGTAAAATGTAATTCCGTAACAAGAAAAGATAAAGAGATTATTTTAGATGGGCTCGGGAGTTGTGGTTAAAAAGTATGCAATAAGAACGATTTTAAAGACTGAATTTTTGTAAGAAAGGACTCAAGTAGCACAGTGATGGATTTAGTTGCATCAGGATATAAATAATACCAAACATGACTTAGAGACGAAAAAACATGTACAAGTTAGTTCTTTTTATTTCTAGCCATTGGGTAAATACTAAATGGATCTTCTCATCTGTGTTGTGGATTGAATTTGCTCAAGAGCTAATGTTATTGAAAGAAATCAGCCGATCAAGATGCCGGGGATGAACTATGCTTTTTAGCAATCTTTTGACATTTTCTGTAAACCTTTTCGCTCTTGGACTTGATTTTCTTTGGCTTTAGGTGATGTAGGTGTATCTTCTTTAGCCTCTTGATCATTTCATGGTGGCATTTGTTTCCCATGTTTACTACCTTGATGCAGCATTTTCGACTCACCTTTTTATCCTCAAACACGGCCATGACAATCTCTTTGGCGCATTTCTCATTCATCTTTCTCGCGCATTCTTCCAAGAACCTTTGACGTTGTGAGGATTCTGAGGCGTTTCTCGAGGGCTGATCAGCACTAGGGGAAGAAGCCTTGGGTTGATAACTCGGGGGTAAGGTATATCCCCAGTGTTGTTTAGTAACATTAGAAGAAGACTTAGGTTGATGACTGGGGGGGTTGGGGGTATATTGTGGGTGTTGCTCAGTAGTGTGGGCAGAAGCCGCGAATGCCACATTGGCTGTTAACACGAACACAACCATGACAGTGAAACCTTTGAAAAAAGAAGACGATGCTGCCATTGCTTACAGTTTACGAATTGTTGAGTTGAAACCTTTAGCGGTCAAGAAACTACAAATAGATTTTATAGAACTTGATTGCGCTTTAAAGGCTTATTTAGTACTTACTTATTTCAGTTTCATTTAAACAAATTTGTCTTAATGACCGAGTGAATTCAAGAGCAATTTCTCATTTAGAGTTTGTCCAGAAGCTTTGTACCGTATTTATGCAATGTTTTCTCATTTTTCTTTTTCATCCGTTGACAAGACGTATGATTGGTAACCAAATATAAAATTAACTTCCTAGAATAACACAGTATAAATAGCCTTCTTGTAAGGCTACTTATAAGTAGCCACAAGAGATTATTTCCGAAATTTTTTTCATATGAATATAAATGAATATTACTTCTCATGGCGGAATTTTGTTAATGATACTAGTTGATTGTCTAAATAATTGCCACTACTATTATACTCTCAATCCCAAACTAGTTCAAAATGGTATTTTGCTGACGACATTAACAGTCAACCTACCTAACACAAGGAAATGATTCCTACGTTCATTTACATTTTGAAGGGAATAAAATGATCTTATAAAGATCTCTAATATTTATTTATAGATCTCGTGTCATTTTTTACCTATGTCACATGAAAAAGGGTCATATAATTAAAATAACATTTGTAATGGACAACAAAATCAAATACTAAGAACTAAAAGGGTGTTCGTGTAAAGCTTATAAATGGATCAAACCAGCTTAACTGCTTGAGCTCAATATCATATTTAACATTTCTATTTAGACACCATGCTTATTTATAAATCAATTTCAGTACCTAAAGATGCTTTTCATCATTTGATGCTTCTCAAGTCTCAACTGAATTTAATTAGTTAACCCAAACGGGCTACAAGGCTTGAGAGGGGTCCAGAAGGGAAGGCTGCTGAAATTTTGACCTTGACTATCACCATTCACGGCCCATCAATGAATTAACCCAAATAGCCGTCCACTCAACCACTTAAACTAAAAGCAGCCGGTTGAGGTATAATATATATATATATATATATATATATAATCTTTGTAACTGAGTTCTATCAGTAATAACATCGGAAAATTCATAGAAACAAAATCATATCTATATCGAATATTTCATATCTATCTCATATATACCATGAAAGTTCCGCCCTTTTCAACTCATTCATCGGGCTAAGGTTCACGGATGGCTAGATGGAGCCAATAAGAGTAGTGCTATATTAGACTGTACCAACCATCTCAAAACCAAGTCAAGAAATTATATATAAAATTTATTTATATTTTGATAGATGCCGTATATATATATATATATATATATATATATATATATATATATAATTACATATAATAAATATGTATATACGTAAATAAATGTATAATTTATGTATATTGCTAGAAAAAGTAAATAATGAATATAGCCGGCTATTTGTGTAAACTGCAATTTTTTTCATAAGCCCACAAATTATACATGAAAAGAAGCCCAATGACAACAGTCCCTAGATCAGGACCAGAACTAGGGGAGTGTCCTCCCTGTAACTCCGACACATCCCGGCGGTCGAATGCTTCTACCTCTCCTTGGACTCCGAAAACACAAAACTCACATCAAACAGGTTGCTTCACTTCTCTTTCAGTTTTCTTCTTTTCCCATCAAAGTTCAAGAGTTTCAGCAACTTACTACAAAAGCAACATATATTAGCCAAGATTCATCTTCAGCTATATTCTCTGGTGTTGAAAAATCTGTAAAGTCTGGGTCTTTAAGCTTGTTGAGTAATAAAGGTAAGATTTTGCACCACCCCTTTATTAAAGATTGCTTTTTTAGGCTCTCTGAGATCTCCCCTGCAACTGTTCGTAGGTTTTGGAGAGTTCCTTTGTTGAATCCTCATGATGTTCTTGAAATTTTGTTGGGTTTTCAAAATGATAGTGGAAATTTTGAGGTTGAGGTTAAAAAAATTGAATCTTTATGGGGAATTTATTGGTGGACTAGCGAGCAAAGTAGGAATTTTAAGCATCTTCCTAAGGCCTCTGAGATTATTGCCTCAATGCTTGTCCATGCCCGGTTGTTTAAGGAAGTTGAATGCTTGGTTTCATTGTTGGATAGCCAAGGAACTTTCTTGGATAATCATGAGGTTTACGGTAATCTAATTGAAGTGTTTGTGGTTGATCATCGATTAGAGAAAGCTATTACATGTTATGATCGAATGAGGATGCGAGGTTTATCCCCATCGATTTCATGTTATGGGGTTCTCCTCGATTTCTTGATTCAAATAAATGATACACAATTGGCATTTCAAATTTATGGTGATGCTATAGACATTGGCTTAGGAAGGAGTGTATCTGAAGGGGGCATTTATGAGGGTGTTATTAGACTTTTATGTGCCGATGCAAAAGTTCAGGATGCCAGGAATCTGGTTAAGAAGGCCCTGGCTTTTGGAATTGAACCTAATCATTTAGTCCTCCATTCAATTGCTACCGGTTATTGTGGTAAACGAGATTATGATGATCTGCTGAGTTTCTTTGTCGAGATTAGTTGTATGCCTGATGTAACCATAGTCAATAAGCTCATACACTCTGTGTGTGGACGGTTTGGCTTTGCGAGTGGGAACTTGTATGTGCTGAAGTTAGATCAATTGGGTTTTTCTATGAATGAAATAACATTTGGGATTTTGATTGGATGGGCTTGTCGTGAAGGAAAACTGAAGGATGCCTTCTTTTATCTCTCAGAGATCCTGTCGAGAAATCTAAAGCCTCATATATATTCCTATGATGCTATTCTCAGTGGGCTTTTCAAGGAGGGTATGTGGAAGCACTACCGAGATATTCTTCAAGAAATGGATGATCAGGAGGTGGAGCCTCAATTATCAACTTTCAGGGTTCTTTTAGCTGGGTTTTGTAAAGCTAGGCAATTTGATGAAGTGAACGTAGTGGTTTCAAAGATGGTAGATCGTGGCTTGTACCAACTATCACCTACAGAAGATCCACTTTCCGGAGCATTTAGATTCTTAGGACTCAACTCTTCTGCTGTGAAAATCAGAAGAGACAATGATACAAGATTTCATAAAGCAGAATTCTTTGATAATCTCGGCAATGGGCTTTATCTGGACACGGATCTGGAACAGTATGAGAGAGCTATTGATAAAGTCCTTAATGATGCCATGCTTCCTGATTTTAACTCCTTTGTATGGAACGATTACATGAGAAAAGACGTGAAAAATGCCGTGATGATGGTGGATCAAATAATTTGTTGGGGCCAAGAAATATCCTTAGGTGCTCTGGATGCCTTAGTGAACGAGCTTTGTGCATCTAGCATTTATATTAAGACCATATCTGGTCTGTTGGAGAAAGTTTCAAATTTGACATATAAGCTTGATCAAGAAACTTTGAATAAGCTTGTTCAGAAATACAGCAAAAAGGGATCTGTGCACAGGGCAAGAGCGATTTTGCATGGCATGCTAGGAAGACATATAAGACTTGATAGTGAAACTCATACTGCTCTGCTACTGGGCTTATGCAAGAAAGGTGATCTGAGAGGTCTAACTGCTTATTGGAACCTTGTACGAAATAATAACTGGTTACCTGATTTGGAGGGTGGGAAATCACTCTTCAGTCGCCTATGCAAGCGAAGACAGCTTAATGAAGCACTGGAGCTTTTTAAAACCTTGCTGTCGCTCTACCCTAATGAAGTACATGATGCTTTTCATGTGTTCCTTGAAGAGCTCAGTGCTGAAGGGTTCACAAGTGCTGCCAAGGTTCTGGCAAAGGAAATCCTAAGCCAGGGAAGTATTTTGAGTCACTCGGCTCATAGCCATCTTATTCTAGAGTTTTGTAAATGGAGAAGTTTTCGAGAAGCTGCTGTTGTTTGTGATAGCATGCTTGCTAAGGACTGGATCCCGCCTTTGGGTGCATCTGTTCAATTAATTCCTCAGCTGTGTAGGTCTGGTATTTTTGACAAAGCTGTTGCGCTGAAAGATATTTGTTTAAGAAACCAGCCATCTGCTGTGCTTCCTTTACACTCTGCTTTAATTCATGGGTATTTCAAGTCGGGGAGGAGCAGAGAAGCAACCAGTGTCTTGCAAGAGACATTGGCGAAGGAACTATTTCTGAGTGCGGAAATTTATGATGTTCTGTTTCAAGGCTACTGTCAAGTTAAAAAGAGGAAGAAAGTCGAGGAGCTGTTTGGTGTCGTGATAAGGAAGAACTTAGGTATCAGTGTCGCAAGTTACCGCAATATAGTGCGGCTGATGTGTACAGAAGGCAAGGTATCTATAGCATTATGCCTGAAAGAACATATACTTAAACAAAGCAACCCTCCTACTGCCATGATTTATAATATTTTGATTTATTCCCTTTTCTCAGTTAACGAAACATCAGTTGTTAATACTCTTGTACATGAGCTCCTAGGTAAAGGACTGCAGCTAGATGAGGTGACTTACAATTATCTTGTTCAGGGGTTCTGTCGGTGTAAAGATTTGTCATCCGCCACACGATATCTAAAAGCTATGATGGAGAAAGATCTGAGGCCAAGTAACCGTAGTTTGAGAGAGGTGATAAAGTGCCTTTGTTGTTATGAGGAGCTTGAAGAAGCTTTAACCTTGAGCAAGGAAATGGAGTTTAGAGGTTGGAATCATGGTTCAGTCATTCAAATTAATATAGTGGAGACCCTTCTTTCTCATGGTAAGCTAAGTGAAGCCATAAACTTTTTGGACCGGATGGCAATAAAAGGCCTCATTCCTGAAAGTATTGATTATAATTATCTGATTAAGCGACTTTGTCAGCACAGAAGGGTATATAAATCAGTAGATCTTATGGACATTATGTTGAGAAAAGGGAATGTGCCAGAGTCTAGCAGTTTCGATTATGTGATTCAGAATTTCTGTACTTGGCGTAAACTGGATGTAGCGCTGAATTTCCATACAGAGATGTTATGTAGAAATCAAAGGCCTAGCATAAACACATGGAGCATTCTAATCAAGAGCTTAAGTGAAGGAGGACAACTTGAAGAGGCAGAAAAACAACTTGATTCAATGATTCAGGTTGGTGAAATCCCGAGCAGGGAAACGTATTCATTGCTGATCAACATGTATCGCTCCCAGAACAATCTTAACAAGGCATCTGAGCTCCTACGTTCTATGCAACGATGTGGATATGAACCTGATTTTGAAACTCATTGGTCTCTGATAAGCAATTTGAGGGATTCAAGTGATAGTATAAATAATGGCAAGCAGAATGGGGGATTTTTGTCCAGATTTCTTTCTGAAGTCGGATTTGCTAGGAAGAATAAAGGGGGATGAAATATCTTGTACCATAGTTTGTGAATGTCAGAGCTTGTTGTTATTTTCTTTTAGCTATATGTATCTTTTGTTATATTTGGTCCGAGTATAGTTGCCTCTGTCATTCTTTTATGTATAGGTTTCACTTATATGAAAGCTACAAGTCGCAGGCCATACAAGCCTTGTAGCGCAATGGTATTCAGGTCATTGTAAACTGCAAAATTCACAATAGTTGAAAAAAGGGGTATTTGTAGTTGAAGTTGAAAGAGAGTATTTGGAATTTGTTGTATTTGGTCATGAGTTTTACTTAGGAAAAAGTTGAAGATTTGTGAGTGAATTTACTTGAAATATTTCTCGAATAGCTTTTTCAATATTACACTAGTATTTGCAAATATTTTAGAGGTCAGTATTGAGTGATATTACGGTATATTAGACACGAGCAAATATACATATAACATACCACAAGTATTATTAGTATGTCTTATATATACTAAGAGTATGTAGTTAAGGATAAGAGGAGAATGTTCAAGTGCAAAAGATTTCAAATGTAGGAGGATTAGATTTTAAATTAGAAACGAATGGAGTAATAATTCTTGCGTGTGAACGAGAAAAATGATGTATATAATAACCTTGTTTAACGCCGAAAAAGAACGCAATAACCCACAATGTAAAACAAACCATTCATATAATTTCTTGTACAGAAGCATCATTGATTACACATAAATGGAAACTCAAAAGAAAAAAAAAAAGGCTCCATGGCCACGTGTCACAGAAAGAACACCCTATTCTGGGGGTAGCTTGGAGAAATTAAGTAGGAATTAAAATTAGAAACACAAGGAACAATCTCTTAAACATGAGAGATACAAGGTAAGTAAATAAACTCAAATCTTGAAAAACATACCTAGGAGCACACATTAAAACCCACAAGCTGGAGCACACATTAAAACCCACAAGCTAAATGATACATACAGTTCAGCAAACAACATATAACATATCCAATATTATCTCAAACCGTGGGGACTGAAAAGAAGAAATTAAATTAATCAACGACGAGAAAGGGCGACAGCAGAGAACAAGACTAAGAGTATGAAGATTATAATTCCTATAAAGGAACCAACTAAGGATCCAGAAGTACGATGGCAAAAGGAGTCGTATTGTTGGCAGATTGGAAACCAGTTTGCCTTTGTATTTCCTTTGTGTGCTAAGTACACTATTGCTGCTGATGCTGATGCTCCCGCTGTCAATAGCGCCAGCATTGCCTTCATTTGAAAATGAGACAGGACGGTTAGTTTAAAGAGCTTAAGTTCTATCATGTAAGAAATCTTGTACTATAGGTAAAAATTTATATTATAAGCATGCATTCATTAAGTGATAACTTGGTATAAATTAATTAAATGTAGGGTAAGACTGTGTACAATAGACCCTTGTGGTCCTGTCCTTACCTGGATACCGCGCATACCGCGAGCTTAGTGAATCGGGCTGCCTTTTTTTTGGTACAAAATTAAATGCAACTAACCTACAATAACAGGTCAACCTCCAATCCCCATATAAAAAAGAGGAGTTTCAGTTCTGTACGCTGACGATGATAAAGATATAATTACGTAATCAGATTGGTTATAGTGTAAATATTTTTATAATAACCATTAACTTAGTAGTTATTACCAATTCTCTGATAGGGTAAACGATCTTTATACTCATGGTAATATAAAGTAAATCCTAAAAGGAAAAACAAAAGAAAAGGAAAAGGAAATACCGCATCAAAGAATATTAAGGCAATCCTGCTTGCTTGTGCTCTACTCCTCATGATGTGGAAGATGGACATCCCCAGAGAAAGTACCAGATATGCACTTACTATTGCATTTGCCACCACAAAGAACCTGTATATCAACATGTGGATTAATTACGTACTAAGATCTTTGCAAAATATAATGTGTATATACACTGACACGTTGATCAAGATATATATATATATATATATAAAAGTGCTTACGTGAATGTGGGAAGATCGCTATACTTGGCCCTGAAACGAATAAACTGAGTGAAAAATGGTAGTGTTTCATTAGTAGTTCCCATAGCAATGGCACTTCCTAAGGTGGCAATTATGGCGATTATCCTTAGAAATAAGTCAAGTATAGACATTCCTCTATTCACCCCTCTTTGTGGAACTGTAGCTGTAACCTTGGAAGCATGACCAAGTTCAAGTGCACCTGCCTTCATTTTTGCTTAAAGAGTTGCTACAAATATTGTAAGAAGAGGTTTTAACAAGAAAAGAAGATTGTTGCTTTAGCTATGATCTTTTGGTTGTGCTTGGTTTAGAGGGCTGAACATACCAATTTATATGCGTCGAGAAACAACAGCACACACCTTTAATATTACACCATCTCACCATACATGTTATGTTAGCCAAGTGGCATCATTGAGTCAATTCCTCATTGGATTTTAATATTTTATGTGTTGCTAAATTTTGTAATGTCTACTCTTACTCATCTCTAATTTAATCATCTTTTCTACAATTTCATCACAAAATCAAAACATGTTTCGATATATTACAACATTTTGTATTTCTAATACGGAATTTGAACTTGAACATAGAGTTGAATTTTGCTACCCTTCTAGTTATTTAATTATATTTTTAATATTTTCCGTTACGTACGGGCATAATTGTTTTTATGATCCAAACACATGAAAAATTCTGTCGATAATGAGCGACAGTGAGACTTGAACCGATGACTTCTGTCTACTTATATTATATGTATATGTTAAGTTGTGTAACCACATCATCTAAAAGCTTGAGTTCTTATAAAAGAAGCATTGACTTCATTTATTTAATTATATCTCACCACTAGAAATCTGCTAAACACCGACCAAAAAAACGACCAAAGTTGGTCGGTTATGGCCAATTACCGACCAAAACGCGATCATTTATGTGTGGACGGTATTTTGACGGTCGGAAATGCATACCGACCAAAGTTGGTCGGAAATTACCGACCAATATTGGTCGGTCAATTAAATTCAGAAAAAAAAAAATATTGCAAAAATAAAACCGACCAATATTTCTGTAACGCAGACCTCATTCATATATAGTCAAATTGCCACAAAAGGAAAAAGGATGGTAATACAAGTTGGACCTAAATCAAGACAATTGTGACACCTACTAGCTCTTTTCACTTTTCAATAATGTCCACCTGCTCTCGTACTTGCTCTACCGTCAATGAATTGAATATATCTCCAACTCCATTATACTTTTTTTTCCTCCAGAAATATTGGAAAATTATATTGTTGATAGCTTGAGAAAAGAAGTAGATTGCATGTGTAAGGTAAGATCCAATTCGTCTTACACCGATTTTCTAAAGCCTTTTTTGAATTGAGTATCATATCCTGAGCACGTTAGGCAGTTGGACTTGAAAAAGTATCTTTCCTTTTGGAGAAAAACAAATGAAGGATGAGTAGTTGGATTGTGCCTATATATGTGAATTTTCTTTCTTGCTAACCAATCCAATATGTTCCAGATATAGTTTCTTGGAACAGATATGCTAATTATATTGTTATGGGGACATCTGGAATGAAATAGCCCGCATCAACCAAGGTAATTAACTATTTTGCATAGGAATGAAAAATTTTGTGTTAAAAAAGTTAGTACTGATATACTTCATTCTTACTGCCATTTTACCCTAAGAAAATTGTAAAAGAGAAATACCAACGACTGAGTTATGTGGAGCAAAGTCCTAACGCCATTTGTTTTTTGGTATGAGAGCGTTTCTCCTTAAGAGGCAATAACTGAGTAAGTATCTTCGTTAAAGAATGTCAAAATTTAAAGAAGTAAATAAACAAATAAATCAAGTAGATTCAATACATAATATATATACTTAAAAATATTTTTACATATCTAAACAATATAATTTTCCAACGAAAGAACGTCAACTCCTTGAAGCTATGTAGCTCCACCAATTTTAAGAGGGTCTTACGCGACATTAATTTAAATTAGTCAGTTTAGTAAATTTTGCATACTAGATGATTATATATAAGAAAGTCCCAACTCCTAACCGCCACTTAGTAAGATGCAAAGGGAAGAAGCTAAGTTGGATTGGTTGAAATACAATCGTTGGATATTTTATCTAGCACCAACTAAACCTTGCTTTACTTTTCTAAAGTTGCATCATCCGAACAGTCTTTATATCTGTTCTATTTTGCCGAATATGGGAATGCTTAGTTAGGTGCCACATGTATAGAAAGATACCAAATGTCATAAAGTTCAATTACGACTACCATATTGAACAGAAAGGGTTAGTAACATGGTATACTTGAGATCAAACATAAGTTTATATATGAATTTAAATATATTGTGTATTTTTTTACATTATCAGTACGCATTAATATGTTATAACTTGTTACTTATCTAATTTAACTACACACAACGTGTGTATGTATGTTTTAATCAGATTATAATTTTTGGTAATAACTGAGAATGTTATCATAACAACTAAAAACTTTACAAACTAAGAGCATCTAGATTCCAAACCACCTTCTAGGAAAGGTTGCTCAGAATACTAAGACCTTAGAAAGACAAACCAATCCAATCATCTAAGGCAGTCTAATTACAAAGCCTATGTATCAAAACTTGGCAGTTCCTAATTTTTCTAGAACCCGCACAATTACTAATTCTCTCCCTAAGTTCTTTTTGAATCTGGATAACTATAAATTCACTATTTACAGTTATTTGCCTAAATATTCTCCAATTTCTAGCTTGCCACGTGTAGTAAATCATGGCACCATCTGGAACTTCTTTCCTAAATTACCATCCATGTCTATTTCTGATCCATTGCAGGATCCTTCTAGTAATCTTTTGCGGGATAGCAATGCCTGTCCAGGTACCTATTGCTTCTCTTATTGCAGTAATCCATCCACATTCAACAAAAAGATGTTGTTGAGTTTCAGGAACTTCAAGGTCACATAGGCAGCAATTCAAATTCCCATAAGTATGTATAGTTAGTTTCATCAGCCTTTCCTTTTTTTAGCAATATGTCCTGGTAAGCAAGCCAGAGAATCAATCTCTGCCTTGGCATCAACACTGCACTCCATACCAGTTCTGCTTCCCTAATCCTTGTCATTTCCCAAGCATACTACTTGATACTAAGTAGATACCATTTGGAGTTAACTTGTACCTGTCCCTGTTACACCATTGTATCATTTTCTTTTTCAATGCATTCAGCTTCATCCAATACCAACTAGAATCTTGGGGAGGATTGTGTTCCCAGATGTTCCTACAACTCTTCATATAAACCTCATGTACCCATTTAACCCACAACACATCTTTCTTTGAGACTAATTGCCACAACAACTTACCAATTGATGCAATGTTCCATAACTTGCATCCTTTTATATTTAGTCCACCAAACGTCTTTTGCTTACACACCTTTTCTCAGGCCACTAGAGATATTTTCCTCTGCCCTTCAGAGTTTCCCCAGAGGTATTCTCTGCACTTCTTGTCAATTTTCTTTATCACACTTTGTGGTAATATGAATACAGCCCCGCAAAAGTTGTATATGGAGAAGAGGACAACAATTATTACTTATAGTCTACCAATATAGGAAAGATTCTTAGAATAACCACTACTCATTCTCTCAGTGATCTTCTCTACTAGCTTATGACATTCCAACCTGCTCCACCTCTTTGAAGATAGAGACAGTCCTAAGTATCTAATAGGCAAGGATCCTATTGAAAAACTCGTACTGTCAAGTATCCTTTTTTGATTATCTTTATCAATACCTGCCAGAAGTATGTTGGACTTCTCCAAATTAGCTACAAGCCCAGATGCTTCATTGAAATGAGTAATGACCTCCATGATTCTATTGATGGAGTTTAGGTTGCCTTTACAAAACAACATCAGCTCATCAACAAAAATTAGATGTGTGAATTTTGTACTTTTACACATCGGATGGAATTGAAAATATGACAGGTCACTTATCTTTCTAAGGACTCTAGTCAAGTACTCTATTACAAGCACAAACAATAATAGAGATATTGGGTCCTCTTGCCTAAGCCCTCTCTTACATGTAAAGTAACCATACCCTTCTCATTTAATTCTGACAGTGAAGCTAGTAAAAGTGACACAACCCATTACAAGGCGAACAAAGGAATGAGGGAATGCATAACCTTTGAGAACCTCTTCTAGGAAATCCCAACTTACCATATCATAAGTCTTCTTGAGGTCTATCTTCATCAAGCATCTATGTGGTTTTCCTATTATAATATCTTAGAAGATCATAACAGATCAAGACATTATGAATCAGAGACCTCCCCCACACAAATGATGCTTGGTTCTCAGCAACCAACACTCCAATAGCCTTCCCGAGCCTCTGGAAGATAACTTTAGAGATGCATTTATAGATCACATTACAACATGATATAGGTCTGTATTGGTTAGCAGATTGAGGTCCCTCTACTTTGGAATTAAGGCTATAATAGTAGAGTTTATCTGCTTCAACAATTATCCATTTTCAAAGAACTCAAGTATGGCATCTGTGACCTTCTCACCTATAATGGACCAAGCAGCCTTGAAAAACCCACTTTCATACTCATCTGGACCAGGACTTTTATTCTTCTTTATGCTGAACATAACATCCTTTACCTCCTTTGCTGTATATGGTTTTAGAAGAGATAATTGTTGGTCTGTAGTACATGTCCATTTTTTAAAATACTGTTGAAAGCTCTCGCCCTTTGCTGTTCTTTGTGCCCCAATAACTCCTGATAGTAGTCCATAAAGATAGTGGCAATGACTTTTTGATCAGCCTGCACTCTACCTTGTTTGTCAGATATTTTCACTATGCCTTGCTGCAATTTCCTGTGCTTTATCACTATGAAGAAATACCTTGTATTATCATCTCCCAGTTTAATCCAATTTACCTTACTTCTTTGTTGTAAGTAAGTCTCAGCCAAGTGAGAAGACATGAATTTCTCTTTCTCCACCTGTTGTAAGTGCACATCAAGGGGTTGAGCAAGGGCCACTTTATCCTCCTCTGCAGTATCTATAATATTCTTAAAGTACTGCATGTTCAAACTTCTTACCTTCTGTTTCAGCATTTTAAGCTTCTTCACTACCTTGAACATACAACATCCATCAACCTGATGCTTCCATCTTTGATGCACTATATTAAGAAAATTTGAATGAGTAGAACAGACATTGCAGTATTTAAATGCAGCTTTAGCTCTTCTTGGGGCATTAGTATTTGACAGCTTCACTGGACAAAGATCGCTTATTCCTTCAGGGAGGAATTGGTCTCTGAAGTCAGGCATAGAGTTGAGCCACTCAGAATTTATAAGCACCCAATCAATCTTGAAAATTATTATTCTAACCCTATGCCTATTATTCCAGGTATATCTACTTCCACTACTTGGTAATTCAATTAGTCCAAAATCCTCCACATAGTTATGGAAATCCATTATCTCTCCCATACTTATGGGGTTACCTCTAACTTTGTCTTCCACTTTCAACACAGAGTTAAAGTCTCCCATTACCAACCAAAGCATACTTACCCCATGCTTACATCTTCTAAATATTGTCACATGCTTCTTATCTCTTCCTTTCTGTTGAAGGCATATACAACAATAAGGAGATGGGTGACTTGCAAACTAATATACTTAATTTGGCAAGTTGTTTCCTGAGCTGTCTTACTAACAAGATTAACTTGAAACCAGCCAGGTCTCCAAGTCAACTAAAATCTCCCATTATAGTGGAGATCTAGGTTGGTTGTGAATCCCCAACTTCCAAACAAACTTCCTGCCAATTTTTCTATCCTGTTGACTTTAATTTTTGTTTCCAAAAGTCTGATCATACCAATATTCTCTTTGTTACAAAGGAGCTTTATCTCTTTTTGTTTGTTAGGGGCATTCATACCCCTAAAATTCCAGCACATTATGTTATCCATTACTTAAGGGATGTTTTAGCATCCCTCTCCCATTATTCACTACTCTTTACCCCTTGAACGGGCTGCCCATCTTGATTGCTTGTCTCTACTTTGTCCAATGGTTGAAAGGTATTCATACCAATTCCCATATTCTCTATTTTCTTGGTCCTTAGAATTCCTGATACTATTCACACCCCTCCTTCATTATTTTGTTTAGTCGTCTGCACACCTTCATTCACTTCACTGCCTTTATCTACAGGAACTTTGCTTGTGTTGGCAGTATGTATAGCAATCTGCTCTTTGCCTTTCGTTTTATCTTCCATGTGTTCCTTAGGGGCAGTTGGCTGTGCCACCTTCTTTGCCCTACAAGTCTGTTCATCATGTCCATACTTCTTAAAACATTTACACAATGTGGGCTTCCAATCATACTGCACTTTCTGCTCCATCAATGTCCCTTTCTCATTTTGAAGACCACTTTATCAGGTAACTTTGCATCCATTTTTACCTCTATGAGTAATCTAGCAAAACTGAATCCTCTTTTTTTAGTGATGTATGCTTATCCACCATTAGTGTCCTTCCAATTAATCTCCTAATTTTACTTAGCCCCTCAGGATTCCAGTATTTGAATTCCAAACATGGAAGCTTAACCCATAATGGAACTGATGTTTTATACTTCAATATCATATAAGAGAAGGAGCAGGGGTGGGGATTTGTGTGGTACCCAATTTTCGCATATACTGAATTATAGAAGGACATGGTTCTTCTATGCGTTCCTTAATCTACTGTTGCATAATAAGTAATGCATAAAGTAAAGAACACAAGTATTTTTACGTGAAAACACCTGACTCAAAAAGTGAAAAAACCACGACCTACTTCCCAGTAGGATTTTCCCCAAAACTTCACTACAACTCTGAGCCAACAACAAAGTTTACAAACTCTTGTAAACCTAAGGATTAACTCTAACCCTTATAGAAATATACCACAGGCGGTTGCGACTACTTCAAGTTAACTCTAACTTGAAAGATATAACTTGAGTTTACAACCTCTTGCAAACCTAAGGATTAACTCTAACCCTTGTAGCAACACGCCACAGACTGTTGCGACTACTTTAAGTTAACTCTATCTTGAATAATATAACTCAGGTACCTAGTACAAATACTTCTAAAAAAAACTGAAAGGTACAACTCAAAATGCCTACTATACTTTGAAATAGAAAAAAAGAAAGACACATAAAATTCTTTATTGAACTAGTTCTTCAATCTGGTTCGTGTATGTAACGACCCGGCCAGTCGTTTCGAGAGTTATAACCCTGTTTTCCTCCATTCCTACTTCTTTTTGTATTATTCAGCTATATTATGTTATATCGGGTTAGTTGGTTCGAGTCCGGAAGGAACTCGGGGTGAAATAAGATACTTAGTCTCATAATTGAAAATTTTAAGTTAGAAAAGTGGACCGGATATGGACCTATATGTAAACGACCTCAGATTTGAATTTTGATGATTCCAATAGCTCCGTATGGTGATTTTGGGCTTAGGAGCGTATCCGAAATATTATTTAGAAGTCCGTAGAGGAATTAGGCTTGAAATGANCTGTTGGAAAATTATTTTGTCAGGATCGAGCCCAGGAATCGAGCCCAGAAATCGAGGGCGACGATCGAAGCCCTGATCGAGCCTAGGGTCGAGGGTCACGATCGAAGGCACGATCGAGCCCAGGGTCGAGGGTCACGATCGAAGGCATGATCGAGCCCAGGGTCGAGGGTCACGATCGAAGGCATGATCGAGCCCAGGGTCGAGGGTCACGGTCGAAGGCTAGGAAGAAGACATAATTGAGGGCCAGGACTGAGAACCAGGATTGAGGACCTCGATCGAAGGCCAAGATCGAGGCAGAACCGAGGATGTCTGGGTAGAATTATAAAAATAGGGGCTTCGTCCCATTTGCCATTTTTGACGAACTAGAGCTTGGGGAGAGGCGATTTTTGATATATTTTCAAGGAAAACTTGAGGTAAGTCCCTTGTGATCATTTCTACTCCATAATAGTGAATTATTATCGAGTAATCCGACTAGATTACATGATTTTGAGGTGTAAATCAGAGATTGAAACTTAGAAATTTGGAAATTTGATTTGTATATTTGAGGGTCAAGTTAAGGTCGGATTTTGGTAAAATTGGTATGGATAGATTTGTGGTTGAATGGGCTTTCGGATTTTATAACTTTTGTCGGGTTCCGAGACGTCGGCCCCACAGGCAATTTTTGAGCCAATTTCGGGTTTTGGTCTAATTTTGAAGCTTTTCTTGTGGAATTCATTCCATTAGCATATATTGATGGTATTATACTGATTGTGAATAGATTGGGAGCATTTAGAGGCAGAGTCCAGAGGCAAGAGCATTGCGGGGTAGAGATTTGACCGTTTTGAGGTAAGTAACGATTGTAAATCTAGTCCTGAGGGTATGAAACTCCGGATTTTGTATCATTCTACTATTTTTAGTGACGCACATGCTAGGTGATGGGCGTGTGGGCGTGCACTATTGGGGATTTATGACTTGGTCTGCCCCGTAGCAACTGTAAAGTTGCATACTTTGTTGAAACCATTGACACTTATATGATTTAGAAAGATTTTATGTAAATTGGG